AGATTCAGACTAGACATCAGGAAGCACTACTTCACAGTCAGGGTGGCTAGGACCTGGAACCAACTTCCAAAAGAAGTGGTGCTGGCTCCTAATCTGGGGATCTTTAATAGGAGGCTGGATGAACACCTCGCCGGGGTTGTTTGACCTCAGTATTCTTTCCTGCCATGGCAGGGGGTCGGACTTGATGATCTGCTCAGGTCCCTTCTGACCCTACCAACTATAATAAAGGCTAATGGAGCTACCTAGGGGTTAGACCTTCCAAAGCTTTACTGCTGCTGGAATATAACAGTCCTCCTGAGTTTTAACTAAGCTAGGGAAAATGGATAAAAGCTGAGGCCAAAATGTGTGGGCTTTTTACATGATTGACTCAGAATGGTGGTGAGGGAGGGAACAGGGCACAGGCAGGAGCAGGAGCTGGGGGGAATGGGGCCCTGGCCAGGCCAGGTGGTGGGACAAGTGGAAGCCAGGGGGGCAAGTGCCCCCCCAATCTGTGTGTAGGGCGGAGGTAGCTGTCATTGTGCGCTGCACTTTGCTCCCTGCTGCAGCTGACCTGAGAGCAGCATGACACCACGTGGTTTCCGCCGCTGGGCTGCCCCTTGCCTGCCCACCAGTGGGCACATGTGACGTCGCATGGCTCTCGGGGTAGCAGGGCTCAAAGCCCAGCGCACAGTGACAGCGGCCTCTGCGCCATGCACAGATCGGGAGGGCACATGCCCCCCAGACCTCCACTTGTCCCACCGCCCAGCTGCGGCCCCACTCACCGCAGCCCCTGCTCCTGTCCTTGCACCGCTCCCTCCCTCACCGCTGGGGCCTTGGTCTGCTCCCCCCTCCCCACCATGGCCCTTCCCCTCCCCCTGCCCCTTTGCCCACAGATTTACCTTCTGAGGTTGGGGGGGGAGGGGGGGGGCACATGTGCTGCACTCAGCCCCCCCCAGATAATGTTTTCTCCCTCTGCCTTATGCTTCTGGTAGTGACCTAAATTCTAAGGTGGTTTCAAATCTAAAAAATACCATGTCCAAGTAGAATTATTACCATCTACCTCCAGAGGGAGATCCAGGATTGCCTCTGAGTTTCACAAAGGGGAAAGATTGTTCTTCTAGTTCAGTTTGCTCTGGTTCATTTTCCTTTTCCACCGCAATTTTGTGTGATCCTGGGCAATTATTGCATTCCCTCAGTCCCCCTTTGTAAAATAGGGATACCGTTTCTGCTACTTAACAGGTGTATGTTGTGGATAAGTATATGAAATGTTGAGAGGCACTCATGCTCTCTTAAAAGGTGTTAGATAAATAGTTTAGGTAGAAGGAACAATGGCAGGAAAATAATTCTGGATTTTCATGTCTGCCAGTGTTAAGATTCTGGCAAGACCTGAGAGTCTCTTCCTTTTCTGATTACAAACATGTGATGAACAGGAAAAACAGATAAACCATCTTTCATAAAGACTATGAAGCATCAGTCTTTCTGATAATTCATGTACAAGACCATATGTATTTAGGAAGAATAACTTGGCGGTGAGTTCACTGAAAGCTCCTTGTTTGACTTAAACAGTGAATTCTAATGATAATCGCTTGAACAGGAAATGATTATGGCTATGCTTGGAATATTTCTTAGGAATTAAATATGGTATATGAGCAGTTTGTGCATTTCTGAGATCAGTGTTGCTTGCATGTTTGCATTTCAGTATGGATTGTATTGTATAACTGTTTGTTTGGTTATTTTACCAACAGTTGGTCATTTTACTTGCTCCTCCCTGTCCACAAAAGACTGGGATAGACTGCTTCTAACCATCTCTTGTGCTAACAGTGCTCCATAATGCATGGGTTTTTTTTACAAATGCTCCCAGTGTGATGAGGTCTCTCTCAACAAATGTCATGCTTACTCTTAGAGATTCTGTAACTGTGTCAGTGTTAAGTATTTATTTTTTCATACATTTAGTTCTTGCCTCTGAGTGGATATGGGAACTCATTGTTTTTCCTGTTCCACAGCTAAGAGCCCTTTCATCCCCTTTTTAAAAATACCTGTTGTACATTTAGAGCCCATATATAAGCTGCTCTGATATTCAAGGAGACTGTAGTTACTAAAACTAGTGCAGTGTGGCTTGGGGCACAAGCATCTGGTCTGTACTTGAAGTATTTTTCAATTCTATCAAAACAGCCTTTGAAAGTAACTGATCAACAAAAATGTATTTATTTCAGTAGCAGGTATTCCCAGGAAAATATGTAAAGCACACTAGAGACAAGTGGCAAAGGGATTGTCTCCTTTTTTCCATGCATGTTGTAGATCTAATCAGGGCTTGAATTGAAATGGGACAGCAATCCAGCACTTTCCATATTAGCTGAGTGTAGAAACAAGGACCTTATTTTAGGGCTTTTATTTTATCAGGGTCATAAATTCTCATAAAGAGAGCTGTCACTTTTTCAGACTTGATCGCTCTAATTAAACTCTTCCTGACAATATTAAGTCTAATTATTTATCTGCAGATAAATGTAATGTGATTTTATTTACAGTTCAGAAATTACAGCATTTGGAATGTTCTGTTTTATAACAAGCATATGTGGAATATTTTTTTAAATATAGTGCCTGGTTGTCTGGATACGAAAGCCCTGTGATATCCCGAATTAACACGAGGATACAGGACCTAACTGGACTGGATGTCTCCACAGCAGAGGAACTTCAGGTAGACTATAAAAAAAAAAAGAATTTTGCTGACTGGCCACACTGGCCTCTATTTGAATTTTGTGTGCTGGAGGACTCTAGGTACCCAATTTGGGAAGGATATATATTCAGAGTCCTGGTAATTCCTGGTGTAAACACAGCTTCTCTAAATGTTTCAGAAAGACTTGAGCAAAATAGCAAAGAATATCAGGGCTTTGATATTTCAGCTGAGTTACTGGGCTAATGTGGAAACAATTCAGTAACCTTCAGTGAAGCAGTATCTGTTTTGGTTTTTTTGATGGCCAAATATGATTTTTCAGCCAAACCAGAAAACACTTGAAACTTCCAGTGCATACAGTGAGTTCTTATTTGTTATTGCCATCATGAAAGCCAGGTTTGATGAGTAATTCTAACATTAGTGGAAATGCCATCTAAAAGAATATTGGGTTTGACAGTTATTTGGGAATGGGGTTGGTTTCTTTTAATCGCTCATTATTAAAAAGTCTCTTACAGAAAAGAAGTATTATATTCTTAATTATATATGTGGAAAAGATTTCAACATGTGTAGTTCAAAGAGTTCTGCATGCTTCATTTTAAGTGCAATAATGGTTAGCTGCAGTTGGCTATGTCTGAGAATGTAGGAGATCCTAAAATCTGTTGATGAGATATAGTACCATATTTATTCAAATACAAGGCAAAGTTTTCCCCCCAATGAGTATGGGGGGAAAAGCCCTTCATCTTGCATACAAAGAAACCAGATTAAATATGTTGTTTATCTTTGAACTGCTGCTAAAAGCAGCACATGCTCAGTAATGCAAACCAACTAGGAAGTTGATTAAATGCAAGCAACACTGAGCATGACTATAAAATAAATGGCAATGTAACCTATCTGAATAAGATGTATGGTAGTACCAATTAAAAACAGTCCCCTTCAGCATTGACCCTTCCTAGTTATGGTGAGCTACTACAAATGTATTTTTACTTGCTCTCTACTCCTGCAGCTGAGCTGTGCCTTTCTTTCTCATTTCTAATTATTCCAGTTTCTTCAGCAGCCTTAAATGCCTGGAAAACATCACCAAATGGGGCCCCAAACAGTTCACTCGAAATCCCTCTGTGGCCCCCTCCCTTATCTTTTTGCATATAATTAGTGTGTCCCTGCCCTTCATGGAGGTGAAGCCAGACCAGGTTGTCCTGTGCCTCATCTTCATAGAAATTTTTCAAGCATCCTAGAACTCACGACAAGAACACCTGGGTCCAGTCATGAGTGGGAGCTAAGTAGCAAATGGCTCCTTTGTGGGGGATATCTGGAGTGTACACATGCTGAGCTGTGGGGTCATCATGGCTTGAAATGTTGTTGACTGCTGGGGCCCAGTCCAGTGAGCTGTATGGTAAATCAGGAGCCTTTTGGCTTTGGACTAATATCATGCATGGTGTATAGTACATAGAACTAGGTGCCAAACTGCTGCTTAAAAGTATGTTTATGAAGTACCTATAATAAAACTTTTAGCAGTTTCAAAAAAGGTAAAATATAACAATTCTGGATGAACTAAGTCTGTGTACACATGCTGAGCTGTGGGGTCATCATGGCTTGAAATGTTGTTGACTGCTGGGGCCCAGTCCAGTGAGCTGTATGGTAAATCAGGAGCCTTTTGGCTTTGGACTAATATCATGCATGGTGTATAGTACATAGAACTAGGTGCCAAACTGCTGCTTAAAAGTATGTTTATGAAGTACCTATAATAAAACTTTTAGCAGTTTCAAAAAACTGAGCTGTGGGGTCATCATGGCTTGAAATGTTGTTGACTGCTGGGGCCCAGTCCAGTGAGCTGTATGGTAAATCAGGAGCCTTTTGGCTTTGGACTAATATCATGCATGGTGTATAGTACATAGAACTAGGTGCCAAACTGCTGCTTAAAAGTATGTTTATGAAGTACCTATAATAAAACTTTTAGCAGTTTCAAAAAAGGTAAAATATAACAATTCTGGATGAACTAAGTCTGTAGGTACTATATGCAAATTACTACAGCTATGTTTATTTCAAGGTCAGTATTTTCAGACTTGCTCCTCACTTTCACGCACTCAGAAAGAGCAGGTTCTGACAGTAAGGAAGGGAGGAAGAGGCTGCAGGAGGAAGTTGAGGGGGCAAGTGGGCACAGGGGCTACCTGATCCCCTAGATTTATTTTTCCTGATGTAGCAGTGGGAGGGGGAAAAATTCAAGTCAAACCTCGAATAATTATTTTCTATACCTGGAAAATTATAAGACATATACGTTTTCCATGTATAAAATTAATTTGGGGGAAAGGGTGGGGGGACCTTATGTTTGAGCAAATATGGTACTCCCTAGCTAAACATTTACTATGAATCATTACAGGGCCTAAAATGTATGACTGCTGATCCTGAAGGGAGGCATGCGACAGTATGCAAAACTCAAAGATGAAAGAAGGTTCAGACCAAAATGTAGGGTTTTGAGTATGTAAAATGGAAGCCATAATGTCTATAAATGGAAAATGTGGAGAGGTAGGTAGAGGATGATACTTAAGACTGAGCTTAGTCTTGAATAGATGACATTCCAGTTAAAGGAGAAAATGCATTTTGAGTGATATAAGGATGTCTTGAGTATAATTTGATCTTTCTTGACAGCTTTGTATAAGCTAAGTACTATTTATTTGTTGTGGGAAGGAGCTCTTAAGTGGAGCCAGCCCTTAGAGGAAGAAGATTGGTCAAAATGACTGATAGATCACCCATCAGCAGGGATACAGAAATAGTTCAGACTGTTCTGTCCTAAGAAATATAAAAATGGTAAGGACAAAAAGGTGACTGTATCCTTAATCACAGTCTGTAAAATTGAGAAATATTTGAAGGAGTAATGGTTGCTCAGCATAGCACAGAAGTAGAGTGAAATATTAGTCACAACACTGAAAACATGGACTGCAGTCTAATAGTTGTGAAATGTTGAGCTTACAACCACAGTCTTGGGCCTGCTTCTTCTCATGCCAAAGTATTCTTTTAACACTGAACAACAAAGGATTATTAGCTTAAATTTCCAGAGTTGCCAAGCATCCAAGCCTTTACTGGAATCTATACCAGTTTCAGGTCCTGAAAAATCCTACTGTCCAGTCCACTTGCTCAGGAATTAAAGATAATACAAGTTGTCAAACTTTCTATACCCCAGAAGTTGGAAGAAGAAGCCCAGTTCAGAGTCAGTATGCTAAGTGTGGAAGAGAAATGCAGGAAACCTGGTATTGAGTACCAGAATGAAGATATGGTTTGTTGTCTGCTTCCTGGAGTCTGGAAAGCTGTTGAGAGAATCCACAGAGGGTGACTGAAATCATTCAAAGACTTGAAACTGAAAGTCGAATGTGTTTGTCTTGTGCTTATGAGACATCTCTTTGAAATCAATTAAACGATTAATGACAGTAAATTTAGTAAGATTTAAACTCTTATGACAGGGAAGAAGCTTTTGTTTTCTATGGCTTGCTTAAGTTTCCATTTACAAAAAAATTTAAAATGTCTAGGCCAGAGTCAAACACTTGTCCCTTCTTCATCAGGTAATGTCTTGCTAACATAATGTGTTGCTTTATTAGATATTTGTGCTTCTCCTTTTACTGTAGGTAGCCAACTATGGTGTAGGAGGCCAGTATGAGCCTCATTTTGATTTTGGAAGGGTAAGTCACTCTGTTTTTCTGCCTTTGCATCTTTCTTCTTCACAGGCACTATGTTTCTGTCTTTCAGGTGGCAAATTATGGAGTGGGAGGACAGTATGAACCCCACTTTGACTTTGCACGGGCAAGTAAAGAGATGAAAGGGAGAAAGTAACTTATTAAAGTCTAGGACTTTTGAGTGGCACAAAAGTTCGTCCTTTAGCTTTTCATGTTAAATTTCTCAGTTCCTCGACTCTCCTAATCCATACGAGTAAATAAAGCCTTCTAAACCACCAACTGAACAGAAATTATTTGAGCATTATAGAACAGTAATATTGCTTCCTTTCAAAATTAAAAACGAAAACCTAGTTGGTTTTAAGATATTAGATTGCATTTAGAAATGGGAGATGGACAAGGTGAATGGCTTGTTTGCAAATTGGTAATAAAAAAGACATTTATCTCTAGTTACTGGTGCAAATCAAATCAAAGTCTGTAATCAAAGTCTGTAGTAACTTTTAAGTTGTCCCTATTTGATGGCTGCTTTATTGGCATATATAAAATTATAAAATGGTTTCAGGCAACAGCTGTCACAGTTGGTACCTCCCACTGACTCACTTTGGTGTAGAGATTTAAATATCTTTTTTATTTTAGAGATGGTCCCTACACGTAAGATGGAGACACATTGGCTTGTATTGCAGCTGCCCATGCTATAACAGTAATGTAGGGCACTGGTGCCCAACCTTTTTGCCCCACAGGCCAGAAGAGCAGTGCCAGATCAGTCTGCAGGTCAGATCCAGTCCATGGGCCCAATGCAGTTGCACAGAGGCTGGCACAGCTGGGGCTGAGTCAGGTGTATAGGACTTGGCAGTTTGGTGGCGGGAAGCAGTAGCAGTGATGTCACCACTCCCCTGCTGCCAAATTTCTGGAGTCATGGGGAGTCCAACAGGCTGGATCTAGTCCATGAGCCGGGGTTTGAGCACCCCTGACAAAGGGAATTTCAGTCTCTCAAGCTGACAGTTCAGCACCTTTCAGTAAAACTAAATTCACATTTTCATTAAATACTGTGGTTTCTATACAAACCTTTAAAATCTTAACAAGAGAGAGAAATCAGATGGCAGTAGCTGCAAAAGCATTTCCATCTCCCAGTCTGTGCTTGTTTGATTGATTATTTAAATTTTCCCGTCTATTTCTACTTTAGCTAATTCCCAGATTGCTGGAAAAAATAATGCACCTGAAGTCAGGTGGTGGCTTACTGGGCATTTCCAAGTGTGGTTTAACACCTTCTAATTAACATTATCCTATGAATCAAACCCAACAAATATTAATATACAGATTCTGTCCTCCTAGCATAATCAACGCTTTTGCTTTCTAAGTATATGCTCAAAAGCATTGTAGATGATTAACAGTCTTTGTTTTTCAAATGCATGATCTAGTTTGCATAATAGTAGTTTCTGAAACTTTAGTACACAGAAATAAACAGTGGTATCTGTGGGTGGATGCTGGAAACTTCCCACATGCGAGTGTGTGACAGCAATTAGTCTGAACTGTTAGACAGTAATTCTGTGGCCCATAATGCACACAGTTCCTCTTGTGATTCCAAACATAAAAAGACTACTTCCAAAGGCTGATCTTCATCATGACTCATTTGGTTACAGTTGCCATATTGATGCATAAAGACAGGGAATCAGAAATATTTTATTTACTTCATAGAGAACTAGTAAATCTGTAGCTTGGACATGCCTTTTTGACTGACTGATCTTCACTAACTGAGCTAGAAGCAGTTCTGGTCTAGATAAACTAGGCTGGCAAAGCTGGACGTGGCCTAAAGGCCCTACAGCATGCTCAGCTGCTGATGCATCTCCCTTTAGCACTCTCCAGTTGTAATAAAATATTCAGTACTTGCAGAGGAAACAGACTGCTACTCCAAAGGCTTCTGGAGACAAGGTCTTTGCCATACGCACAAAGAGGGCTTGGATTTTTATATAATACTTTGTTGAACAGTTACTGAACAACTACTGAACAATTTTATGCATGCTGTATCTCAGTCCTACCAGTAGCAGTTTTAGGGATTATAGCCAGACATTTACATCTGAGAAACTGGGTATAACATTTAGTGAAATCAGATAAACAGATATTCAAAGATCTTTCTTAAAATGTAAGTGAAAAATAATACAGTGTCGAATAGCCAACCAACACTATAACTGCACAATATAGTAATTGGCATGTTATGGTGACTCTACCCAAGGTCATTTTCACATACCAAGAAAAGGGAAACTAACACTTGAGAATAGACAACCCAAAATAAGAAGCGTGTTCAACAAGCCCTGAAGGCAGCCAGTAAAGTATCTTTACAAGAAAGTCATGTCCCGGTACATTTCTCACTGAGCCTAGGAACCAAATAAAAGCTTTCTTTTGCGCAGCCATAACTGAAAAAAAGATAAGGGTGGGTATTTATTCAAGAATATCTAAAAATTAGATTAAGGCTGCCACTTTTTTGAAGACCAAGGACTTTTTCAGTTGGGCCATTAACTTTTTCAAAGTAGTAATGTACCATAGAAAAACTCTTGGTTTATTTTGGATAGTACTTATGCATAATGTTACACTTCTTACTGTCTCCATGCACAAAAGAAACTGGTGCTGGCACTACAGAAAAACCAAAAAAAACTCTTGCAGCTCTGTGTCACTGCCAACATTTGCAGAGTTACAACAATGAAAACTTTAAATATGTGTTGCTTTTTTTCACAGAAAGATGAACCAGATGCTTTTAAGGAATTGGGAACAGGCAACAGAATTGCTACTTGGTTGTTTTATGTAAGTGAAACATTTGGCAAATCTGCTGTTGCCAAAAATACTATTTTTTTTCTGCATGTTCTGTACTTTTTGAATGATTTCAATGCACCATCTTCTTTAAGTATCAGCAGCCAATAACTGCTAAGTAGTATATACTGATACATTTTAACCTTTTTTAATGGCCATATCTTAAGTTGTTCTCTCTAAAAAGAGCCAGAAATGAAGTTTGTTTAATAGCTTAAATTCTTGCTGCAATAAATGCTTTTTGTAATGTACTAGCTAAAGGCTGCCTTTTTCTCCCTCTTATAGATGAGTGATGTGTCAGCAGGGGGAGCTACTGTATTTCCAGAAGTAGGAGCTAGTGTTTGGCCTAAAAAGGTAAGTTTGAATTTTGATGCATCTTTAGATGTTCTTGTCTCCCTCTCTTCCAGATAAGACATTGTATATTTAGGTGTGATATATGAAATAACATTTTTCCAAGGTGAGCCTGTTGCAGGAGAGAAAAGGCACCAATGTGACAAGCACTTAAGTATGCTAGTAACTGTTCATTTGAGTAGGAACAGGGACTTGAGTGGAGCTAATCACATAAATAAACCCACATTTGTACAAATCTGGGTGTGCTTGTTCAGTTTCATTCTGCTGTCCTGTATAATTATGGCTAGGTTTGTGTTAAAACTGCATGTGTGGAACTGGTAATCCAAAGTACAACTTTATATCATTTTGCGAAATGTTTGTTGTTTTAAATGTGTTTTTAAAATCTCTGTTGTATTAACAAATTAATAGTAGGCTTGTAAGGGTTTAAGAAAAAACAGATTTTTGGCAAGCTGACATTAAATTTCACTGGACTAATACCAAATGAAATAAATAGTTTTAAGATGACAACTTCAATTCCAAGCTTCCTAAGGAACAGAGTAGAAGAAATACCAAAATACAGAATAATATATATAAACGTATTATTTGTGGAGTTTTAAAAAAGCTGTTGAAGCTTTTGTGGAAATGTAGAAGCAACTCTATGCATGTTTAGCAGGAAATGTTGAATTAGTATTGTCATTTTCAGGGAACAGCTGTATTCTGGTATAATCTTTTTCCAAGTGGAGAAGGAGATTACAGCACAAGGCATGCAGCCTGTCCAGTATTAGTTGGAAATAAATGGGGTATGTAGTCCCTCTTATTCTTTTGAATATTTAATTTTTATATGCTTTATTTCACTGCTGATAGGGTACAATATGGCGAAAACTGCCAAATGTTTTTAGAACAGGCTTAACACTCACATGGCTACTTTAATGCATTTTCCCCTTTTTGCAAATATGATAAGGATTCCCTCTCAGAACTCTGTATGTTAAGTATTAGTGAAATATTTCTGCAATAGGTATTTGAAAATAAGCTTTCCTAGTGGATCTACTGATAAATAATGTATAGCTTAGTTAAGTGACCACTATCAACCTGGTGATTAATGTATAATGTATTTGTTTTATATATTCTTTTTTTTAGTATCCAACAAATGGATCCATGAACGTGGGCAGGAGTTCAGAAGACCATGCAGTTTATCAGAGTTTAAATGATACTAACTTTGCCCCTCTCTTCTGTACTTAAGTTTGTGTAAAATACACACCTTCCACATTTTACAATTTACAATCGACTAACAGTCCACCACAGTTTCCAGACACATCCAGTGTGTCGTCTGTGGACAAACATCCTTTTAGCTGCCTCTAAGATAACCTTTTACATTTTATACACATAGAATTTTATGGTTTTAAACTTCTGTGAGTTTTACATGAAAGAAGAACAAAATACAGGTCAGAGCCTGAAATAAGAGAAAATTTTGTTTAGTGCTCTTTTTCTCCATAGAATCTCTGATCAGCATGGAAAACCAATGTGTCATTTATAGAGCCCATGTAAGCTTCAGTGTGCTAATGGTGAAATAAAAATGGACAATCACATTTCAAGGAAGGATTCTGCAAGGAGAGCTGCATTTAAAACCAATCCTCACACTTCCAAGCAGCCAACTCCTTGCTCTTGAGTGCCTGACCACTATTGTTGAACTGTGGGCATGGTTGGTGTCTCTGGGTAACAGGCTACCTTTGGTCTGGACTACCCCTTTTTTTCCCCATTGCCATGAGCCCAGATTCCACTGACTTATCAACTGTCTTCCTACTTATGCCTCTAGTGAATTTGGCTCTAAATCCTGCAAATGAGAGCCAGCAGTCATCTAAAATTTAGATGCTTTAGCAGTGATGTGTCAGGACACTTGTGCATCAGAGCAGCCTGATAACAAACATGATCTGCTTTCCAGGTCTCTTTTTTTAATACTTAGAGCGTGTCCATTTAAAAAAATGTTGCTTATATTGTCGTAGTAATACACCTTTACATCTATTCCTTGGACAGTAGGATGGGGACATTGCCGTTTTTGCTTAATCAAAACATTGTGCCTTAAGATACTGGAATTTCATATTGGTTTTGAGGTTTCAAGGGATGAGGTAATGCACAACCATACAACAGTTACTATTGAAAAGCCAAACTTTATCCAATTCTGAAGTGTGTGGTGACAAAGATAACCTATTTATAATCTTAAATCTTTCTAAAATGCTTTTTATTTTGTATGTTTGATATGTTGAGGACACTGAATGCACACGTAGCAGTGACTAGCCTTTAATCAAATCAGGGGTGCATTTCATACCGGATGCCAGCTGAGGATCTCTTCCAGACCCAACCTTGATGGATTTCTGGTATATCTCACTTCTTGTGGACTCCAGGCTTCATATTAACAGAACATTTAACATTTTTGTCAGCAGTGCTTTGTTGTAAAGAGAAGACTCAAATAAGTGAGCTTCCTTGGCGGGGGCTCAAATGACTTTCTTTGGTACTTCCTATCATATGGAACCCAGGTTAGAACCCTGTAGAGTTTTATAGCATTCCCTTCAAAACACATAAGGATATTCAATTCCCTAGTCCTTGGTTTAGGCCTGGGAGGAACTGGCTCATTAATGTCTTCCAGCTGTTTCAATTTATCACCAGCCATCACTGAACAGGGGAAGCCAAAATTGGAAGCTTGAATAAAAACTTTTGGTTGCAAAAGCACATCTGCTCTTCACATTCCTGCAGGAGAAAACTGTTGTCATAGCTTCTGCACTAGCAGACTGCTAAATAAAGCTGAGGCAGAGTCTGCAAGGAGGATCATTTTCCTAAGCCACTTTTCTTCAACAATGGCATTTTGTTAGTGACATATTTAGGTATTTTACTAACCAAAGATGAGAGTACAAGTGAGCTGTCAGAATCTGCTATAACAGTCTAAATCCCCTTTTATTATGAAATACAGAAAGCACGCTGGTGTAGGTCCACATCCTGAAATGTTTAGCAAGACATATCTTCCTCTTTGGAAATAATAGGAATTGCTGCCTGAGGAAAAGCTGATATTTGAGCCAAGCAGTAGACGACTCCAGCTGTTAATATAACGGAGAAACTTCTGGAATGCTGAGAAACAGTTCAAGGTACTACAGTTTATTTCAGAGAAATTATAACTTCAGAAGTATAGTCATGAGCCTGTTAGAAGGGGTCCTGCAAAATTATTTGTCCCAAACCATGTATCCTCTTACATTTTGAACTAAAGCTTTTTGGAAGATGTTTAATAAAGTTTGCTAGAATTAAAAGACTACTGTAGTTCTACAATACAGTTAGCATTTAATACTTTTCACTTAATCAAAATTGCTGGTACAATTATCATGAAGCATTATCTGCCATAACTAGTCTAGTCAAGAGCTGATAACTACCAAAAAAGGCAAGGGTCACAACTTAAGTTATCACAAGCTAACTACTTCTTCCTGCCTGCCTCTCTTTCTTTTGTAAATCATGATGTGAATCTGCTCAATCAGGGTTTTTTTGTGTTTTGTTTTGTTTTGGTGGGGGTCAGGGTCATTTTTCTCCTCGTTCTTTTCTTTTTCTAACCAGAGTTGCTGCTTCATTTTCCAGAAACTAATAGGATTAAATAAGAGAGTAGACTTGAAAATGTGTAATATCCAAAACAGTGCTCCTTATGTAACTCTCCCTACCCCTCATAGCACAAATAATATTGAAAATGCTGGTAATACTGGCAGGTATCAAGCACAGATTGCCACATCCAGATCACCCAGGTCTTTCCAGACAATTAGGTATTAAACAATTTCTGTATTTAGGTGCAGACATAAATGTGGTGGCTAATACATCTTCATGTCAGTATCTTCCTTCTAATGTAAACATTAAAGACCTGATAACGGTTCCCTAGTGTATTTAAATAACGGAAAAGTCGAACCTTTAAAGGGGGAAAAACAGGAAATTCCACAAACCAGTGGACAAAATTGGAAGTTGTTCTGCTTTACTCCTGGCTGAAAATAAAGGAAATTATACCAAAGGATAATCTCACTTTTCAGTTCAAAAACAAATATGTTCCTCCCTGTGAAAGATATTTGTAATAACTATGACCACTGGGCAGTCAACACTAAAGTCAACGCTATTTACTGAATTTACAATCCAATCTTGAGGGTCCCATTTTCTGCAGCTCACACACCAATAAGCATTCCCAGTGCTAAAGGAATTATAGGGGTGAGGGGCTTCCAAAAGAAAGCTCCTGCAGGGCAGTGTTTTCCCTGCATATTGATTAATTACAGAAATTATTGGATACTTCATTCACAATTTTTAGTAGGCAACTTACATTTCTTCCAATGAAAAAAATCATTTGATTTAACGGTAATGCACAAGTTTGGTCAAATTGGTTAAAGTTAAATTGGTTAAGGTTAAATTGAATTCGATCTTTCCAAGCCTGGTTGTTAGAGGAAAAGTCAACTGTGAGTACCCAGATTTTATTTATCCCCAATTTCAGTCATGTTCATACACTTTACAATGAATGTGAAATATTACACACATTGTACAATTGCTTGTTGCCTTATCCATTAATTTTTTAACAGGCTTTAGGATCAAGAGCTTGGCACCTGTGTGAATGTAGTTTTGTATTAAAGACAAACGACAACTGCTGGCTCACAGTGACTAACTTTTTGAGACTGCCTTACTCTTAATTTTGTGTAATAATATTTTAATGTAAAAAAACAGGCTTGAAATAAAAGCCCACTGCCATTAAAAGGGAAAATCCTCCACATGACACTTTTTTGATTAATTGTCTGTCCATGGATTCCCTTCATTATATGGTTCCTAGAAATAGGGATATTAATTTATATTTCACTTCAGAATATGCAAGCAGGGGTTCAGAATATATTTGTACCACAGCTTGTGTTTTACCCGTTCTCAAAAATTAGAATGTGGGCTTTACCTTGGACACGCACCGTATTAAAGGACAAAAATAAGTATTTGACTCGTGCTGATCACTGGTAATTTCCAAATAAAGAGCTTGTTCATTAATTTAACAAGAATTTCAGGATATGGGTTTTTGGAGCATCCTATTTTTGCCTCTATTGAAATTCATCCTACCTGCAATCTGAGGACTATCGTTCATTTACCTAAATTGGTATGGGACTTTGTATCCCATGTCAAACTACAAGAATATTATCGAGAAATACCCTGAAATCCCGTCTGGAAACAGGCTGGGGGTAAAGACAAAGGTAAGATTATAATAAGAAAAGTCCGGCAAGATTTTCAATTCAAAATTTGCGAAAGCTAAGAAGTTATGCAATTTATGTTATCAAAAACTAAGTACTTTCCCCATCTTCCAGTTTTCTTCCTTTTGCAAATCATGATGTGCCTTTACTCGCCTCCACTTTTTTTTAAACCTATCCTTTGGACTGACCATGATATGGGCATGAGGAAAGGTACAAGAGTGCATGAAACAGGAATTAACGAAGTGATGCGAGGAATACACGATATTACAGTTTTCTCTTAACCAAGCCACCTGCTCCCAGATGAGGAGCTAACAAAATTATGTAAGTGAGCTCACTGTATTTTAATAGAGGAACTGGATACCAGTTCTTAAAGTACATCAGTTTAAAAAGTCTGCAGAAGGAGAAGCAAAGGTGGTTTAGATTAGCTTTTTTGTTTACCTGTGCTGAGGTAATCTCTGGTGTCTTCCATCTAGAAAAATCAAATTAAAATATGCAAGCTGTTTCATAAAGCTTGAATGTGTACCTTCACACCTGGCCCTTAGTTCCGTGTTTGCTATTCCTTTGCCTCTTCACAAGTCAGGCTAATGTGAGAAGAAAAAAAATCTCAATTTAGATTCCCCACTATCCTTACAGGAAGACTTGCCTAATTTATGGTTTCTGCTTATCCCCTGAATCAGTTATGACACTTTTGACACTGTGTTTCAGCCGCGTTCTATAATCTCACCATCTTGATTTCCTTAAGTACCTAGTCAGGTCTGAAATTCAATATTTAATATGAATGAAGAAGGCTGGCAGGATGGATGAGGGGGCCCTGCTTTAAAGGGGGGGCATGTTGCATAAATAAGAAATGACTTGTCCAGCATCATGCAAGCAAGCTTACGTAGATCAGCAGAAAACAGGGCAGGATAGCACTTCAGAGATTAACTGCTTCAGGGAAGTATGAGCTTTTGTAGGCAAAGTAGGTTTTTAGCTATGAAAATATGCCTTCCTGAACCAGTTAGTCTTTAAAGTGCCACCCTGCCCTGACAAGACTAACAAGGCCTACTACCTCTTAGGGGGTGTGTCTACATGTTCATTAATGCACCATAATTACAGTGCATTAAATTTAGTACCTGTAATAGGTACTAAATGCACCATAATCAATGCTACTGCGCATTAATGTGCACAGTAGAATTAGTCCAATGGGCTTTAAGCGTCTCATGTAGGTGTGCCCAGGTAGATGAGAAAATTTAATCCTGACCTTTTCAGCTAATCTGATTATTTTTCACCACATAACCATGTACTCATTGAGAGACTACCTTATATTTACGCTGCTTAATTTTCTCATTCCAATAATCAATCTCAAGACTCCGAAAGAATTAAAACTACGCATCTGCCTCCCCTCCCCTGTATTCAAACTAGAGGGTGAAACCTCACAACTAAACAGTCTAGCTCACTTGAATTGATACTTAAGTTTCAATCAGAAACTAACCAAGTCCGGTAAAGTGATGCAGAAAACTAGAGCTCATGCTGCATCTCCCTCATGATTTCTAAAATGATGATACCACTTAGAAAAGATCCCAGGATATTTAAGCAAAAAATTTAATATTGGTGGTGTAGAAGGGATTTCTCTTGCTTGGCATATCTCATTTCTTACGTGTGTGCACATTCCTATTGTTATACAAACCCTACACTGCTCTTGAGCACCCTTGGAAATAATCTGTTATATTGAACCACCCTGGTTACAGTTAGTTGCCATTACAGGCTCTCACCTAGTTTTATTTCTTAGCTCCATAGCTGTTTTGTTTCGATTCATTAGAAACCATTACCACCAGGGCAGATCATACTGTAGGCCTTGTTTTATCCATTCAAAGGTAAATCTTGTTTAAATGAAAGGGCTTAAATACATTTGTATATATAAATAATTTTTAAGTGTAGAGATGGATGTTTAATAACTAACCTCTAGGCCTGCAGAGACCAGCTTTCTTCCTCACAGCTGATCTAATGCCAAAAGCAGGGGTTTCCGCTTTGTAAGAGTCCAGGGACTGCATTAGAAACCTGCCCAGCCACTCATCACCACTGAAACTAAGGAGCAGAGTGAAATTAAACTCAGTCGCACAGAAAAATACTGCTACAGCAATCTTTTCTACCTTTGGTATTGGCATGTACACTGCATTGACTGAATTGGTGGATTTAGTAATGATTTTAGACAGGCAAGAGCTCGAGAGCTGTTCTGAATGTGAACATACAAATTAGAAAATAAACCCATTCAATGAGTAGTTGCTTGTATTGTAACAGTTTACCAGCACCAACCCCCCTTACCCCATGCACTTTCAATTTTTGGAGTGCGGTGTTTGTTGGCTTGGGCATTTTGTAATCTAAACAAAAGTAAATGATCTTTACATGTATGCTGTTCACATTTGATTTAAGGAACACTTGTTTTAGGTGCTGTTAATGCAACATACCTGAGCCAGAATTTGGTAAGGCAGGCTCCTGGTTTTTAACCCCTTGTTTCAAAGGAGATTGGCTCTGGATTTTTGGTGTCAAATACAAAGTTCAAAATTGGATCCCAAAAGCATGGTGAATAGCCTTGTTTCCAAGGCAGTGGAGGTGGGGTTATTCACACATTTGGCAAATCAGTTTTGAAAACAAAATAGCACAGCTGAAAACAACTTTAGGAAAACAAGTTAAAAACCAAGAGGAAATGTCTGATTCTCTCCCATGTTTGTCTCTATAAACTTTGTCCCCCAACTGACACTTTAGCTTCTATCACAAGCTGTTGGTTTTCATATGACTAATCCTAGTTACTTTTTCAGTTTTTATACAAAGAAGAATCAGTAGCTTGTGTGCTATTATCACAGTACTTTGCACACTGTAAAATCCTTCCAGTCACATGTTTTCTCTGTGTCGACTGAGACAAAGCCCTAGCATGTGGGGTGGAGCCCAGAGGTACACCCTGGCTTTATGTAAGCTTATTGGCCCCGCGCTCTGTTGAAGGGGTATGCCCAGGCTACTAATGCCCAGAAATCACAGTTTACCACAGACACTTTGGTGAAGCAGAAAGACAAGGAGAACAAATAAAACAG